CGACCTTGTACTTGTGAAACTTGGCTCATAAAATAATATAATAACAGATATTTAACTGTTTGTTAGTTTATGCAGAAAACAACAGATACTAAAACAGTTCTATATGCAAACATCTCTCTATCATTACTGTTCCAATAATTAAATTGCAATTACCCAAACCACAAAGCTTTAAACTGAATATTATGTTAACGACCCAGCTAATTATACTGGAACTGCCACCTAGGCTAGACGCCGTCTATACCAAGTTTTTTACTTTTTGAGAGGGTTTCGGTGCTTCTTGGCAAGCGAAAGCATCTAATTTTAGCTGTGAGTGTAGCCGAGATGAATTTCACCGAGAGGAGCATTTCAAATTTAAATATGTAGTTGGCTTACAGCAAATATTAGTCATTTTCTTGGGTCCAAGTGATGTTCATATATATTAGAAGCACTGGTTGTTACAGATTTAATCATACATAAATTTAAGATCAAGATTAAGGCGAAGAAAACAAACAAAGCTTGGATTCAAAACTATCAACGAATGATTGGTTATCATCATCATTCCCGGGAATTTTACAGAAATGAAGTGTAGTTGATTAATAGCAGTCATAAAGCGATCACCAAGGTCTTTTCTACTAACCTTCACGATTTACTTACTATTGAAATACATTTCATATGGCAAATAACATAGACCTGCGCTTTATGCAAACTAATTCTCACATAAATACCTCACATTCCGATTTCACATGATAACATCGCCCAGAAATGGTATTGTTTAAGTATTGCATCAGTCGGAAAGGTCTAGTTTATGAAAGGCCTTGTTATTTACATACTTAGGAAAAGTTTATGGACTGTATAATCTCTGGAGGCTACTACGTGTGAAAATTTCTCAAAGAAATCACACTTTCACTTAAAATTACACACGCGTGAGGATTAACAATCGAGAAAATCCAACCGTTTTATTCTCCAATTACCTGAGATGATTTATAATTTGAGAACATTAAGATGCGATCGCGATGCAGCGAGTGTAACAAGACAGTTTGAATAATTTCTACTGACTTTCGTATTCATTCATTATGATTTTATAGACTCACATGAGACCTTTGTTCAAATTTCTTGTTATTTCCAACCAATCTTTATATTATCTATTTTACAGAGATATGTATGTAACATTTTTAAAATATACAGTCCGTACGATATTTGTTGATATAATTCGAAGAAGACCCCTGCGTCACTTTCTTGGAATTAACCGCATTCGACACCCGAGTCAGAAAGACATTGGCGGCGTGGCGTTCTCCGCAGCAGGTTGCAATGTATGTTTTGTTTTGCAGCTACGAAGGCGTGTTTCACTTTGCTCTATGAACATAAGGGCAGAAAGCCGCCGTTTATGAGATACAGGGCGTTGAGATTATCAAAAATAAAACAATTTTTTTAAATATCTGGAAAACCGCTCCATCAAATTTATCCAAATTTGGTACACATTTTTTTTCGAATATTTCTCCTAGTTCTGCATAGATATTATACAGATATTTAAAAAAATTGTTTTATTTTTGTTAATTTCAACGCCCTGTATCTCATAAACGGTGGCTTTCTGCACCTATGTTCATAGAGCAAAATGATGTTAATTTTTGTTGTTTAGTAGTTTCCCGAAGTTTGTCTATTAAAATCTAGACCACCCTGTATATTTTTCTATATATCTTAATATATTTTATAATTCTAAAAATAACGCGGAAAATTTCAAGGCACGCCCCTGCTGCGGTAAATTGTTCCAGTAGTTCCGATAACAGAACTTTATTGGCTTATTATTTTCTTGGAATTTTATCTCAACAAATATTGTACGGACTGTAGTTAATATTTGTATTTTTATGATGAAGAAGAAACTGAATTTACAGAATGACATTTACTGATGGCTGATGTTTCTGCTACAATTTTTACGCCCGATTCAGAAAACAATGTTTTTCTATTTGTTAAGAAAGAGGCTTTCTGTGAAATTTCTCATTCTTCTCAGAAAATTGCTCATAAATGTGGATATTCAAATTTGACCCGATGCATCTACATATAATTTTTTTGAGGAATAATTATTAGTGAATCAGGATCACGGATTTTTTTTATAGAATATCTGACAGCGTTTCGCATTTCAAGATCCTTTAGTTTATACTTTTTTATGAACTCATAATTTTCATGTAGTGCAAATTGTGTCTAATAGTGGTAATCTTGAAAGTGCTTGAAAATGGTAAAGTAACATCTAGAAAGGCTTGAAAAGTTACTGTTACCTTTTCTCATCTTATAAATCACATTTATTACCTAATTAATAATTTGAGAAATGAGGGACGTTATGAGATTTTCCATAAAAAGTTCCTATTATGATTTCACGAAAAATAACTCGCCAAAATATCCCATTTGTATACAGGGTGATTCAGTCATAATGTCATGAATTTTAAGGGAAGATAGGGAAAAATGAGTAGAATATGAATATGCGATTAATAGTTATTTACACCATAAAGGAGGTAAGTATTATGTACCAGTCGACGATTTTGGGCCCGAGCGGAGCGAGGGCTGGCAATAGAGTCCTAGACCGGTAAATTATACTTAACTGCTGCGTGGTGCATAACATTTTATCTGCTCCCAAGTTCTTTATGGTTTATGAAATAGAGATTAGGTTTTATTTTTTGACATTTCTTAATCAATTCATTTTTATATTATTCGAAATCTTGCAAAGTCGCCTTGGTTGTTTGGATTTTGTCTTTTCTAAGGTGTTTATAAATAAAGATACATAAAAGTTGCAATTTTGCTGGTTTTGAATTATTATTAGGTACTAAATGAGTGATTTTCAAATAGAAAGTGCAGCAAATGCTAAAAACGGTATATCACGTACGTTTACAATTACTTTTCGTCTGGTTTCTGTTTCTCACCTAGAAATTCTCAAGAAATATATCAAGATTAGATTGGATTAAAACCGGAACTTCACGCTTTTTATGCGCTATCAAGCAGGTAGATGTTACTACCAACCAGTCGGCAAGAATACCTTTTCTATGATTCCTAATAAAATTGCAGTTTTTGAAACTAGAACATCCTCAAACATATACAAGCCATTCATTCCGAAGAACATCGGTAACGTTACTGGCTAATACAGGAGTTGATGTATTGCAATCACGAGCCATGGTAGGTGGAAATCAGCCACAATTGCAGAAGTTATGTTGCTGACAGTTTAAGTAACAAAAATGAAATAGCCAAGAGGATTATTTACAATGACACTTCAACTCCAAGTTCTAGTAGTACGTCGCATCATGCTGTATTAATGGATCAGTCAGATAATATTGAGCCTCCGGTGACTGAAATGGAGCGGTCAAATCATTTTGAGAAAAATGTGACAATTAGTAAATGCGAGGGGAATAATTATCTAGATTTTATAAATGTTACTAAATGTAATAACTGTATAATTACTACAAATATTCATTCACAATAATTACCTCCTTAAAAACAATTAGACTATTAAGTCTATTTATTATAGTGGGAGCACATAAAATAATTTTAAAATGCGTATTTATGCCGAACAGAAATTTTTCATCATTATTTAAATTCCATTTCGGACCGTTTCTGATCGCTGACCAGCAAGGGTTTATCGAGAGTGACCTACCGTATTAGTAAAGTATTATTTATTTGTTAATAAAAATGTATAAGGATAATTATTGTTCTCGAATGTTAGGTTATGACAATTTAGTAGGTATTTGTAATATTGTGTTCACTATGTTTTATAATTTATTAAGAGTTTTCGTATTTTTTCAATTAATTATTCAGTTTGTGTACGTATGCCTACTGACTTATTGCTTTTCAAAGAGTAGTATGGTACCTACCTACTTAAAATGCGGCTAAAAAAGACACTCATTTCCTCAGTCCACTCAGTCCATCATTTTGATAATAAAGTTGGGATCCGCTGCATATTGATTTTGAAACCAATTGCAAAATTCAACACGACTGGAGAAATCAACTGTTTCGCTTCAACGTGCGAACGCTCTGTAGTCCGCCGGCGGGTATCATCCCTGTCATAAAATGTGTTGCGAAGTAGCGCGCCGAATTTACGGTATTTAAGCTGATTTTCTGTCTTTATTAGGCATTCCGAATACGTGGTTAAAATTAATGACAGTATGACTGAACCACCCTGTATATAAAAATTTGCAAGAGTGTTCGTAATCAAATCTAACACCACTACTTACGTTGACTATTTGTTAAACATTTTTGTACATAAATGAAATCAAACCGACACAAAATATTGCTTGTGTAGTAGAACAGGTACACATTCTTTTTAGGCGGCTTCCTAGTTAGCCAAGGAAGCAGTAATAAGGATCTTCCGCAATTTCATCGTTTATCGCCATTTAATTGGGATGTAGCACTATGATTGCATGTTTGTAGAATCGCGATACGGTAGACATAGCACCCCTCTTTCAAGTACATAAAATTAATTGTCGACGATTACTATTAGGTTAATAATTTCACATGTGAATCTCGCACGTTCTTTCAAAGGTTTCCTAAAAATCACAATTGAAATAATCAAAAATGCCATTTACTCAGCACCGGAAATGGGATATGATCAAGGATAAGAGGTTTGTATTTTGATAAATTTGGGAATAAACGACGTTCTATGAAAAGATTTCCTTCTCTCTTTTTATTTTTGATGTAGAATAATTAAGGTAGTTCCTATTAGTCATGGCGTTGGTATACCTATCTATTTATTTCATTGTTTTATGAAATTATACATTGATTTAATCATTTTTGAAGGTTCAGTTCAATAATTTAACATTAGTTGCAAATGCCTATTTTTTGACACTAATCCATAAAACAAGAAATATATTTCATTTCTGTTAACAATTTTTTTCTATGTATCTGAGAGTAAAAGCGTTAACGTTAATAGTAATATTAATTCTATTGGTTGCGCTCTATTCAAATTCAAAATATCAAATTCTACATTCAGTTCAAGGGTTGGTGTTAATGTTATTATAATACAAGCCATTACAATGCTTACGTACACCACAACCTATCCGTTACAAACACAAATCTCCCATATCACCAGTGTTTAGTCACTAACTTTTACGGCTTGTTAATCAACGAATTAGGCAAGCCCGTCATTTAGTATAAATAATGCATCTTTACCGTTTCATTCGTCACCATTATAAACTGATATTCCTTGTCGTTATCCTAATGAATGTCACAGATCCTTCGACTCCCCAATTTAGTACAAGGAAAATCGCACATTTCACTACGAAAACGACGGTACGCCGGCGATATTCGATTGCGACAATCAAGAAATTCGACGGACAACTATCAATCTCTCCTCGGACGAACTGAGCGCGCCGCGATTGTGAGTTTTTAGCGGAGCCCGAGCCAGACGTGTGGAGAGGGAGATCGCACGTGCTATGGGTGTAGAGAGGCGGATAACGACTTGAAAACAATTGAAATCTATGAAAAACCACATAAAACGTAAATATTCATTGCTTTTGGAACAATTTTGAGTGTGCGTTATTTTTTTTCCGTTAAAAGGAATCAGGGAATTAATCCTTTACTTTATAAGGTACCTGGTGGTCCAACATAAATTTCACTCCCATTGACCCGTAAATGAATGACGCATATGTATACACAAAGTTAATATTTACAAAATTCAAACGAAACAAACAAACAATAAATTGTGTTCTGATAAAAGATCAATTTTTTGGGTTATTTTTAGTTCCTTAATCCACAATTTAATATCAATAACAAAATGATCATTTTTTATGCTGTTTATGTCAGTGACATTTGACCGTATTTGTTTGGAATTTGTTTATTTGCTGAAATAACAGTGTTATCTGCGTAAAATATATGGTCATCAAATACTTGTTTTATATATCGACACTTATTTCTCGGACACCCTGTATAGTTTGAAGGATCTATCGGCAATTGTAAGGAAGAAATGGCTAAAAGAGTGTGCCATAAAAGCACTACGTTAGACAAAGAATTGGTCGCCAAGCAACTATTAATAATTTCATTCAAATGTTTTTCAATTTGTCATAGATTTTGTTACAGATTATAACTAGATGTTATCCGCTCCTCTATCTATCTATCCACGGGAGTGTTCAGGCGCAGACGAGGAATTAAATAGGGGGCCTACCCTAAAATGTACAGAATCCGATGATGATGAACAATTCATGGATACGGGTCCATTATTTTTTGGTTTTACCGAATCTTGCTCTAACAAGATTTGGCTCATTTAACTGCTAGGTTATCATGAGTTTATTATTAGCTCTTTTGTTTATACTTGCTTTGTAGCTAATTCAATTAAAAAAATTGAAAATTTTTCTGAAGATTCTATCTCAAATAAAAACTAAAAAAGATATGTCTAAACATTATTAACATTTTTAAATAATTTAAGCTCCCAAAGAAATATCTTCTTTCTTGTCGTTCTAAAACCACCCTTCCATCTTTTTCTACTATTTCTACGTTTTGCTTAGGTCATTGCCTTTGAAGTTAGATATCCATTGCATATCTAGATTTTTGGTATTTGTTTGACATTTAACAGGATATTGAGACACATTTCTAAATTAGCTTCAAAATAACGTAACAATGTAGGAGCTAATAAATATATATTTTTTAGGTAAAATTATCCACACTAATCTAATTATATTGACAACACTTTTGACTTTGTCGTTTCAAAATTTACTTTTTTCTGAAGGTTTTAAGACTGATCCTATTAATACCAATTAATTCCCTTGTTTGTCTTTTGCAAATAATACGATATTTAGAAAAACTTTTGAATTTTTTTAAATTAGCTTAGTTCCTTTAAAATCAATTAAATCAAATCATGTAGGTATTTCCATCAAACACATTATTTATGAACATTTCGCTTATTTCACTTTATTCGTGATTTTAGTAGGCCAATATTTCAAAGAAAACAAAAGAATAACTTGTAATCTTCTTTTTCTAAATGTATGGTTGCTGTGTGTAACTTTAGATGGCGCATGTACTATTTGCAATTTTCGAAGTGTATTTACATCTTTTATGCAAGTAAATTGTAAAGTATGTAGTGAATTTCTGTGATTTCTTATTAGTGAACTATTAAATAATTTAATGTGTTAAGGCATATCAAGAAAAAGGTAATTATTTGTCTCCGTACGTATTTAGGTATATGTGTAAATTTGCGATATTAATACTTCAAAGCAGAAACGTAAATTTATTTTCATGCTGCTGATTACATCTAGTAGTATTTTATTTATTTGTATTGTGATTCTTTTAATAACGTAAGTATACTCGTATGTTTTGTATGTATATTATTTACAAAATCATATTCAAATAATCTGAATTGTTTGAAAAATTAGTTCACACACTTCCCAAGCTGGTGTATGAGTGGTTGCCAACATTCAGGCGCCGGAGGATAATTTTGTTTGCTTTCGTAAACATCACCGGAAAATAACATTGTAAAAGCTATTTATAAATATCTCAGTATTTTTATTTTCATCAAAAGCGGAGACGCCAGTTTTATAGAACTATTTGTGCAAATGTTCAATTCAATGCCAAATTTCTTGCGAATTGTCTTTTATCAGAAGTTCCTATTAGTACAGAGGTTTACTACAAGGGGATGAAAATTTGCAGAACAGATTCTAAAAAAAGCGATAATTTAAAAAATGCCAATGTATAATGAAACATTTTGAATTATGTACGTAAAATATTAAATTGAAATTTATGAATCTCATGAAGGATACCCACCTCTGAAAAATATAGAAACATGGATTTGGGGGGAGGGGCGTTTGTCAGTTAATGTCAAACAAAAAAAAGGTTATGCAATCCAAAAAAGGAAAAAAGATTATGCAGTCAAGAAATCTTAAACGTTTTTAAAAAGAAAATTCTTTTATTTTTTTTCGGACCATTTGGGGAAGGGGGGGGGGGGCGATAGCAGTTACCACATTAAAAAATCATTATTTTTGTTATTTTTTTTAAGATTTCTTTAAAACTACAAATTTTTTGGGCGAAAATAGTGACACTTTCTTTTGTTATTTTTAATTTCGGCGTATTTGTTGTAAGATATAAGGTGCCAAAATTATAATTTTAAAAGAGGTTTTTTAATAGTGCTGCTATTTTTTAGTACATTTAGTTCAAACTTTGATCTTATTCATTGTGAGCGAGCACACTGATAAAAAGCACAAATAGAGAAAAGTGTGGTTGTAATAATATTCATTCCGAGGGTTCTCAAATTTAGAACGAATAAAAGTAGGAGTCACACAAAGCGACGCAGGAAAAAATTTTGTGTAAAATATTCGATTTTTTTAAACTTTTTTTCGTGTATCAAATTTCTTTTATTTAAAGAATTAAGTTTTATAAAAATATTCTTGGGTGGTATCGATTTGGATGTGCTTCAGATTTAATTTTTTTTGTTATTTATTTGTCTTGATCACAAAATATGTGTTTTAGTTTGAAAATTGTGTTAACGTATTGCACAGAGCCAAACAACGAAGAGATTATTAAAAATCTTATTTTAAATTTAAATTTTAATTTTGACACCACGTACCTTGAAAAAGAATCGTCTAAATGAAAAAGTTCATAAGGAAAATCTTTGTTCCTATTAGGTTCGCCCGAACACCCTGTACATCATTATTTATTACCTCTCAATGATTATTAAAATTTCATATATAAGTATTTTTAAACCAGCGGCAGATGCTATTAAATTATTGGCGTGCAAAATGGCGTTCACCGTCCAAAAATAGTTTCCAGTAAGTTACTGGAATTTTAACAGAAGCCTTCATTCCTTCATTATTCGACTTCTCTCGGTAGAATTCCGTTATCCAAACAGCAGCCTATTCGGTGGCTCTGCAAAGAGGTCGTTAATAAAGATATGACAATTAAACAAATTTAAACCAATGAAACCTAATCAAATGTACCGGCAGAGCCGAGTGTTAGCTTGGCAGAACAATTTATTGACTATGTAGGACGAGGACGCATCATAGAGATATGCGGGCAACGAAATTTAAAATGGCTGGGTGTAGGAATACATAAAAATTCAATTGAAGCTTGGTCAAAAATAAAAAGTGGGTTTTCGGTGGGTAGTCTGCAACAAGATCAACGTTCCGAAGGTTTTACGTTATAGTGATACTTAAATGAAAATTGATATAATAAGATCTCTAAATTTATTAGTAGTAAAATTATCTATCTAGACAGATGTAAATTACTTGTGTTATGAATATGATAAAATTTTGGATTTATTTAATTTACCTATCAAGCAAAAAAAAATACGTTGCCTGCAAACTATAAATAACAATAGTGTTTTATGACATTTCAAAGTTATTTTTGTTAATGCCATACATTTTTTAAAGAGTCAGCTTATATTTTTAATTTGGTACTTATTGTTGATAATTGTTTTTTTAAATTAAAATTAAATATTTTCTCAAAATTCGATAATTTTGAAGTTTCAAGTCGATAACCGATTTGAAAGAAAAAACGCATTTTATAATGATTTTATGATAATGACCCTCCAAAACTTTATAGATAAGGTATTTGCACAAAACAGTGTAGGGTTTTGTCACTGAATACTATTCTACAATGAAAATTATTGCCAATTATACAAGCAATTTCGTTAATAACTAATTTTCCAGTCATACACCATTCTTAGAGTAGTTTCAATATCTCATGAGCCGCGAAATGCGCGAAAGGCGTGGCGTATCCGCATAATTTTTCTAATAAGCACGTTGTGAAAACATTGACTCATAATTAGGCCACGTGCCTCATTACAACCAGAAAAGAACTAAGGCTCTCAGGCATCAATAAAGTCAACTGGCGAACGTTCGTTATGTACCGGGTGATTCAGTTTGATATTCGCGGCCTCGTATCTCTTTTATTTTATTTAACAAATAGCTATAACAAACCCTATATATTTTTAGATCGCCGCACAAACTCTATCAAATGACATTATCAGATCGTCTCCATGGTAACATGTGTCAAAATTGCTATAGTCAATTGTTTTTGTTCAAATGGCACACTATATATTTTTTTATCAATTCTGGAAGATATTTTATTTCTGTGTTCAGCTATATAAGGAAGTCTATAGTTTCATTAGAAATATCTATTGCTAGAAAAACAGCAAAAAAAGATTAACTCTACTTTCATTAGCTTTATTTTGAAAAATGATAGCCAGCTGCGGAAACAACTGAATTTTAACGTTTCTAAATAACGGTTTGTAAAAATAATTGACATTTTGTACCTATTTATTCTATCTACAACTAATAATTATAACATGGATACTTACGGTAACCAAGAAATACTAGTGATATGATTTTAATTTATAGAGAAGGCTGGCTAAAGTTAGCCAAGAATTTAGCGGCA